CCCCAAAACCCCAAAACCCCAAAACCCCGTAAATCAGGTACATTATTGTATTAAAATATTAAATCACCACTCAAATGGTTATATCCCTGTTTCTTTTGCTCTTTCTTCTCTGTGCCCGTACAGAGTCATGTAATGGTCAAATTCAAAGCCCTGAATTCAGGAGTTTGGAAGGTCCACCTATAGACTGATACATCAAAACAACTTGAAGCTCATGTAACGCAGAGACGACTTGTTATTGGACGGATGAATATTGTACTGACTTAGATCCTGACGAATTCATGCAGGTAAGCCAAATTGATTAACTGGAAGATGAGTGAATATGACTCAGACTTTCAGAAAGAGTTGGCTTAGACAATCACAGTCCAATCTATAGTGATATAAATGAATCTAAACTAGTTGAAAAGAACGTTTTAGTATAAATAGTGATTGGGGTGAACCTTTTTTCTTATAAGCTCTTGTTCAGAGTTCACAATGACAACGGCAAGCACAATGACAACGGCAAGCAAAATGAGAAAAAGAGCACTCTAAAATTAGATTTTTTCATAATTTTTTATAGTTTTAGGATCTATAGTTGATGTATCATTATTTCCATTTGATTCGATTATTTGAACATTTTTGTAGAACCTTTTCTTAGGATAGTGTATCTAAAACAATCAGAGAAAATTATGCAAGCTTAGTTCAGAATCATCTCACTTAATAAATATAACCTCAACCTTTCCCTCGTTCGTAAAACTCTTCTTTTTGAAGAAACAAAAGTGCATGATAATAAATTAATATTAAAATGCCTAACAAATTATCCTAAATTATGAAGAACTTGGATAATGGAATTTTTTATCGTTGTTCTTCGGCTGTAGAAAATACAAAGGGATGCAGAATAGAACTAATGATATATTTTTAGAGGAAAAACATATCTTTTCTAATACTTTGCTCAAGAGACAGTCTTCAAATTGCATTTTTAATGATCAAAATTAAGGTGAATATTTAAATTATTCTTTGAATGAGAACAATGTTTCTATAAATGTTTTAGACTAATTCTTTGAGCACCATCACCATTAATGTTCTACTTCATAATATAGTGTAAATTCTTCATCTTTGAATTTTTTATTCAAATATTCATAAAATATTTCCTATAATAATCTTAATGGGACGAATTAAGATTCTAGTCAATACATTCAAGGTTTAAAATGTCTGCCTTATTAGCCTTTCATTGCAAGTATAAAATATTAAAAATAAACAATACAGCTACTAGATTAATATTTCTTTAACTTGCAAGGCTCACCTCCCTTCTAGGAATATTACGACGAATACATGGCTGATGAAAACTGAGCAGAATACTCTGAATCTACAATTGACCTCACTAATGTGTTGGGAGAGACTATTGAGCTCAAACACAACACTGGCAATGACATTAGTTGGTTTATGTGCCAGTGGACTATCAAAACAGACACTTCCAAGAGCATAGAAATTACAATTTCTAGAAACGATCAAACATATGAAGAAATCGGTTTGAACTACACTCTGAGAGGAACTCTAATTTCGGTGGACAACAAAGATTTGACTTCTTGTGGAGAAAACACTTATTCTCTCAAGTTCGACAACAATATAAGTGAGATAATAGTCAGAACCAGAACGAGAAGAGATCAGAATGACTACGACATCTTGATCGCACAGGAAGGCAAAGACCTGGGGACTCCGAACGTGCTCACCAATAACAAGAAGTTGGTGGAAATCATTGCTGTGCTTGTGGTTGCTACTTTTGTGATTATCATTGTTGTCTTGATCACATTTGCTCTTTGTAAAAGAACAGGAAACATTTCGAAGAATAAGTTTAAAAGAGTTAAAAAGCATATGAATAAATTAGCTGAAGAAAAAGAAGTTAATACAGATGAAGTGATGGATAATATGTTATCAGGGAAATTTCAAAATATTTCTCATCTATATAAAACTTCTAGCTGTTTGATATGCCTCATAAAGTTTATACCTGATGATATGTGTCATCTTACCAATGAATGTGGGCATTTATTTCATTCTCATTGTCTCAAAAAGTGGTATAATATGGTCTCACATATGAGTGACTTGGCATGTCCAAAATGACAAACCCCCACAACTAGTAAACTACACCAACCTCTGGAAGAAATTGACAAAATGGATGGCAAAGATGATGAACTCTATCATAGTAGAAGCCAGCTTGAAAACGAAGAGGATTATGAAAACGAAAATGCTAAGGCACCATAAAACCACAATGTTTACCCCTGATACGTAATTTCTCAACTCTCTAAATCCTCCTCGGGGTTTTGGGGTTTTGGGGTTTTGGGG